GAGTGTAAAAACTGAGAGATCTCTTCATTTCAATTTTTTAAGGGCGTTTGTGGCTGCAGCAGCGTAAGTGTCTGTGCTGGGACCCAAGGTGGCCCCCTCCTCTTCCAGGTCATTACTGAACAACAACAACAAAAAGTTCTCGGTAGTTGCAATTAAAATGAATATAATCAGCTGCAGAATAATGCAAGGACACTATTGAGAAAATGAGCTGGCAGGAGAGCTCACTGCCAGTGCAAATGAGTGTATGTGGAGTGTCAGACCACTCTTAGCGTGTTTACTCATAGACAGACCCTAAACTTGGCATTATCACTCAAAAAAAAATAATCCTGCAGTCAATCATGGATAGCTCTTTGAGCATTTTAGCTCAGAGTTAATGAAAGGGCAAATAGAATGGCAGGAATAATAAGGAAGGAATATGAAACATTTATATAGTCGCTTGATGTAGGTATCTCCAATATTGCCGTATCACAGGGCGGCAGCGTAACAGAGGAACGTGACAGTACCCGGGAGGAGAGGTTAAACCACCACCATGTTCTTCAGCCTGGAAAAAGTCACTGACGCAGGGTGTCATTAACTCCAGGAGTATAAATGCATTTAAAAGACAAGTCTGTGCACAGAAAAAGGTCTATGAAGCATGACAATCCTGTTGCAACCTTTGGCTCAAGTGTCCCAGCCCACTGGTTGCCAGGAACGAAACTCAGCCCATTCTTGCATGTTTTCTCCCAAGCATGTGTTATTGGCCAGAGCCAGAGACCAGACTGTCAAGAAAAACAATCTCTGTTCAGACCCAGTATAGCTGTATTGTTCAAATTTCATTTTATTTTAAAATACCCTGGAGAAGTGGCTCATTATGCTGGAAAAACAACTCGATTCTTGCTGTCTCTACCACCAATCCTCTTCAGTTATGTTTTTTTTTTTTTTTGAGAAGACACACCTTGTTACCTGACAGCATTCATCCTCAAACCTAGGGCCATTTTTTATTTCCCTAGCATGGTGTGTTTATTTTGAATCCAAGACCATCCAGAAACTTTATCACTCTGTTTTTACTTCAGCTCTACCTCTGTGCAGACTCCTGATCACGAAAAAAAAAATAAAAATCCAGGGAGCAATCAAATTAATACCCTTCTTCCCTAAAGCTAACATTAGTTTTATGACAGGTCTGCTAGGAAGCAGGGACAACATGTAAAATTCAATATAAACATCTGCTCTTAAAACTAAAAGGCTGCCACCTATCAGGATAATAAAAAAAGATCCAAAAAAGGTAAAAATCACCAAGTTTTAAGAAAAAGTTTTATACCTGCAACTGTACAGAGGTTTTGGACAGGGCCTGCTACGCCTGCTCTGCTTCTCCACAACTAGAAATAAGGTGGAAAACAGGTATTGCTCCTCCTAAACCCAGCTCATGGCTCCCCTGGACCCCCACAGCGTGCTGAAAGACTGCAGTGAGATGATGCCGTCACTGAAACGTGGTGCGCTGACTTTTACGTGTCCCCACACAGTCTTCAGTTTGTTTAACCAAAGCTATGACTTGCTGTACGCCAACAGAGGTGCTTGGCTTCAACCTCGAAATAGATTGGTTAAAATCCACGTGGCAAGAGCACGCGGCACTGGTGGGACGGAAAAATTCTGATGTACCTGACCAGCAACGTCCTCACGGCATCCAACGTTACTCCTCTCCGCAGGGGTAAGAGCAACTGCAAGAGTTACGGCTTTGCTCGGCAGCTGAGGCTGCCCAGAATCACCCGCAAAGTTCCCGCTGAATCAATTAAGGCAGCTGGCAAACCATCTCGGCAACGTGTCCGACTCCAAAGTCAAATCTAAACATAGGAGGACCGAATCCCCCTCTACTGGCATTTCTCCTCTCTTCCCCCTCTGGCAGGGACAAGCCCTAAGGCTCTTCAGCTGAGGGAGACAGTTCCTGCAGCGCTATTTCACTCCCGCTAGCACTGCCCGGGAAAGCACTTGGCACCCTCCACCCAACAAACCCGGCTGCTTGGGGGAATGCTTCAAGATTCTCATGCTGAAAGGAGGAGAAGGCTGAGGTGAGGTCCACCTGGATTTGAATGTCTGTGAACGAATAACCTGGTCTTTGCCTGAAATATCTCCCTCAGTTAGCAATGCTGAGGTACCACTAACCAAAAAAAGATGACTATACTGCTCTTCAGTGGGATGAAACAGAATGTTGACCAGCCTTATCAACAAAATGACTTCTGGACTTATTAAACAGATCAGCAGGAGGAAAATAAATAGTGCATCCAACAGGCATCTGCTACCTTTTGTGGCATTTCTTGGCGGTATTGGGGGATCACAGAATCATAGAATCGCTGAGGTTGGAAGGGACCTTTAAGATCATCAAGTCCAACCATCAACCTACCCTGACAAAACCACCTCTAAACCATGTCCCCAAGCACCACATCCACCCTTTTTTTAAACACCTCCAGGGATGGAGAATCCACCACCTCCCTGGCTATAGGCTACATTCCAATGTTTAATAACCCTTTCAGTGAAAAAATGTTTCCTAATATCCAATCTAAACCTCCCCTGACATAACTTGAATCCATTTCCTCTCATCCTATCATTTTTCACCAGGGAGAAGAGGTCAGCCCCCACCTCTCTACAACCTCCTTTCAGGGAGCTGTAGAGAGCGAGAAGGTCTCCCCTCAGCCTCCTCCTCTCCAGGCTGAACACCCCCAGGGCCCTCAGTCGTTCCTGATAAGATGTGTCCTCCAGACCCCTCACAGCTCCGTTGCCCTTCTCTGGACACGCTCCAACATCTCAATGTCTGTCTTGTCCTGAGGGGCCCAAACCTGAACACAGCTCTCGAGGTGGGGCCTCACCAGTGCCGAGTACAGGGGGACCATCACTGCCCCAGTCCTGCTGGCCACACTATTGCTGATACAGGCCAGGATGCTGATGGCCTTCTCGGCCACCTGGGCACACTGCCGGCTCATGTTCAGCCGGCTGTCCACCAACACCCCCAGGTCCTCCTCCCCCGGGCAGC